GGAACATTGTAGATTAACATTTGTGCATTGCATTATTGGGCTAGACCTGCTCAAAAGAATTTGGTTGTGTTGATGGGGGCAATTATTAGGGGGATTAGTTCATGGCCCACGTTGTTGGCATGTTGTTGATGAAAGGGGTTATAGAAGGGTTTTTTGGCAACCTAGTCCTGCTGCAACAACTGCCCAATCTACAATGGCGGGTTTTAAAAATTATGTAACGGAGGTTGAGACCTTGTCCTTAGTCTTGATATTTTCATTTCATGTTAAGGATCGTAAGATATGAAAGTTGATCAAAATGAGAGGATTCTTGTGTTAGGAATTGAGACAGGGTACACGCAGCGGAAACACTATCACACACTCACAAACGAAACGAGAAAATAAAGCAATAAAGAACACAAGGATTTTACGTGGTTCGGATTCGGTGTAAATCCTACGTCCACGGGCTGCAACTAGATTTTCTTATTAACTTAATAAGATTACAATTTATAACTCTACAAGTTATATTTGATGCACACATGCAAAGGGTTACATCGCACATATATATATATATATATATATATATATATATATATATATATATATATATATATATATATATAGGAGAGAGAGCCGTACACTTTTCTTGATTCACACAAATTTGCCGTCCATATTGACAAAATTGCCGCAATTGAGAAAAAGGAGTCATCATTTAATAATTTAATATTTCTTGCCGTCCATTGTTTGACCATGCAAAAGATGCGTCCAAATAATAAACAATTGATTTGCCGACATGTACGTCCATTCAATATTAAACAATTGAATTGTTTAATATTTGTCAAGTTACATTTATGGCCCTTGAATTCTTAGGAACTTGTCAATTTGTTCAAGACTCCATAAATCTTAACAATCTCCCACTTGGAGGCTTGAACAACTTTAGCTTTTCTCCGCCATTCAACTCTCAATTATTCCAGTAATCTTAAAAAAACAACCAAGTCCTTTTAGGCTTCCAGTTCCAATGAACAAGCTAAAACTTAGTCTGATTTCTCTAGTTGCAGCCGCCCCTCATCATCAATTACTAGAAGGGCCAGTTGAAGCTCCCACTAGCTCCAACTCAGCCGTGGCTAATCCCACCACCGACTCATCCTCTGTCTCAACTGGTTTGGACACTCCACCGGATCCAGAGATACACCGAGGACCACTAACACTCTCCAAACATATCAAACATCCAACAGGAGAGAAATTTTCAGTCTTAGTCTTCAAAACCCAACGGCTCTTCGTAACTGTACCCGGAACACGCCCCGTGCTCCCACTGTCACAGAATCTCCTGACTGGTTTAGACTTTCCGACTCGTTCAGCTAACATCCCCTTGGCTTCAGAATTCATGTTTGCAAAATGAACTCTCTTAGCCGTAGATTTAGCGAACCAGATTTTGTATTGCTTAATCGGGATGATCATACTTCCCTCAGCAGGTACCTCAACCATATACAATGACCCACGCTTCAAACCTTGAGCAATCACCGAATTACCATTGACCACCATCCATTTACCACCACCAAACCTTACTTCCAGTCCTTGTTTATCCAACTGACCAACAGAAATCAATTTCTTTTTCAGCTCCGGAATCACCTTGACATTTTTCAGGTTCCATGTAGTTCCCAATGAAGTAACCAGATCAATATCTCCCATGCCCGTTACCTGAAGCATCTCGTCATTTTCCAACCGTACCTTCCTAAAATCTCCTTCTTTTAGATTCACCATCGTTTCCCCGTTGTCCATGACGTGAAACGAAGCCCCTGAATCCATGACCCAAGAGTCTACAGAACTTTCCATACTGAGTATCAATGCATCATCCTCAGACACACTCTCAGCACCAGCAATGTTCAATTCTTTCTTTGGACATTGACTCTTAACATGTCCCACTTCTTGACAGTTCCAGCATTTCACATTCTTCAAAGTTCTAGAAGAACTTTTTCCCCGACTTCCACTGCTCCTGCTATTCCCTCTACCTCTTCCGACATTTAATAAATCAGAAGAGGAAGATCCACCTTGATTCTTGCGTCTGATATCCTCGCCTAGAACCAAATCTCTAACCCCTTCAAAAGTCATACCACTGGTCCCCACGGAACTCGTAACAGCAGTAACTATTCCGGACCAGCTATCAGGTAGGGAAGCTAGTAGCAGCGAAGCTTGAGTCTCATTATCAAATTTAATTCCCACAGATGATAATCTGGACAAAATTGAATTTAGATTATTAATGTGAACTGTAACTGAGCCTTCCTCATTCATCCTTGTAGTGAACAACTCCTTCATCAAGAACACCTTGTTAGCCGCCGATGGTTTCTCATACATATTTGACAGAGCCTCCATCATACCACGCGCCGTGGTTTCATTCATGATGTTGAAAGCAACGCTCTTCGTCAATGACAATGTAATAACCGCCTTGGCTTTCTTGTCCTTTGAGTTCCACGCATCTTCAGCAACTTTTTCAATTTTCTCCGGTTTGTCTCCGAGTACCATGTCCAAGTCTTTCTGACATAGCAATGCTTCTAATTGCATTTTCCACCAGCTAAAATCAGAACCATTGAACCTTTCGATTATAATCTTGTCTTCAGCCATTACGACAAACAAGATACAAATCAGGTACACTCGTGCGTGATAAAAAAAAAACGATCGTACCCTCCAAACCTCGCTAACCAGGCTCTGATACCAGTTGTTAGGAATTGAGACAGGGTACACGCAGCGGAAACACTATCACACACTCACAAACGAAACGAGAAAATAAAGCAATAAAGAACACAAGGATTTTACGTGGTTCGGATTCGGTGTAAATCCTACGTCCACGGGCTGCAACTAGATTTTCTTATTAACTTAATAAGATTACAATTTATAACTCTACAAGTTATATTTGATGCACACATGCAAAGGGTTACATCGCACATATATATATAGGAGAGAGAGCCGTACACTTTTCTTGATTTACACAAATTTGCCGTCCATATTGACAAAATTGCCGCAATTGAGAAAAAAGAGCCATCATTTAATAATTTAATATTTCTTGCCGTCCATTGTTTGACCATGCAAAAGATGCGTTCAAATAATAAACAATTGATTTGCGGACATGTACTATCCATTCAATATTAAACAATTGAATTGTTTAATATTTGTCAAGTTACATTTATAGCCCTTGAATTCTTAGGAACTTGTCAATTTGTTCAAGACTCCATAAATCTTAACATCTTGATGACAAATTTGAGTCACCTGTTTTTCTTCGAGAAGAAGCATTAATCTAGTTTCCAAGATAGTTGAGATAGATGATCGATGACGGATGAGACTATTTAAGTATTTATGTAGTCGTATTTGGGCGACAATTTGTTTATCATATACGCAACAAAATTTTACGCCAATGGTTGAATCGATATTATCAAGAAGGTATTAGATAGCCTTGATTCAGGTATAAATTGTTATTAAATTATTAAATAGTCTTTGATTGTGATTTGGCTTGTCAAGTTGAATAGCTTATGTACATTTGTTGTCGCAAAACAAGGTCTCCAATTTGTCAGTATTTGCTGAGTTCTAGAGTTTCTTTTCAAGATCATTTGAAGAAGATTAGGAGGCATCGTTTCGTATATCCACAGTTTGACGACCAAGAACACGAAAATCCGCAAGTGGCTTGATCATTGTTGGTCCCATTGATGTGACCAAGAACACGAAAATCAGTGCAATTGGTTTCAAGAGATTTCAAAGAGTTTCTTTTGGGCGTCATGATTAAATCGTCCAAAATCAAGGGTTAAGGTAAATAATGTTTTTATATTGTGATTTCATAGGGTTTTTATAATTTCTTCTTGTATCTTCCATTAAACATCAATATATAGGGATGAGCAAAAAGCCAAAAACCAAACCGGAAACCAAAAAACCCCGACATAACCGAAACCAAAGCAATAACCGGCGGTTTAAGTTTGAATTTTACAAAAAGCGAAAAATAACGGTTTGGTTCGGTTTTGACGTATAAAACCGCTCGAAAAAACCGAACCGAAGCACGCGCGCGCACACACACACACACACATATAATATATATATATAATATATATATATATATATATATATATATATATAGATATATATATATATATATTATTTATCGTTTTTAACTTTTAGTTTTAGAGTTTAGACTTTATCCTTTAGTACTTTATGTTTATTTTCAACAAACTGTTAATGGTGTTAAACTTTGATCTTTTGAACACTTTTATGCTTCTAGAATACTAGAATCTGTACTCTTTATTTTAGTACAACGTACTTTCACTGGGTTTAAACCAAAAAAACTAGAAAAAAAAAAGGAGCTCATAAACCCACAGTTTAAAATCGAAAACCAATAAACCCAACCCGGAAAACCAAACCATGCAAAAACCGAACCTATATTGGTTTAAAAACCGAAAAACCAACTTTCTGGTTTAGTTTGGTTTTAATCAAAAACCGACTCAACCGACCAATGTTCATCCCTATGAGTATATATAATTTTACAACGATTTGATATAGACTTATACAAAGAAGGCCCAAAATAGGCCCAACTATAATCATCTATAGTTGATACATGTACAGCACTAATAAAAACTAATGACAAAATTGATTTATTGCAATAACATATTTTATAATATTATTTCATATAATAATTATCTATAAAACAAATCGTTATCAGTCTAGGTTCATAACTGTCACATTTTAAAATACTATGCAATTTAAGGGATCAACCGTGTTACAACCTCTATCATCTTAAGGGTCTCAAAAACATATTGAGGATGTAAATTGATTTTGGATCATTGCCAAAATCATATAACATGTTTCTTGTCAATTACCGTCTCAAATTTGATACCATATTCTGTTTTTATAGCTTTCACATTTGGGTAGGTGACACTTTGTAAAGTTCATCCTTAAAACCAAGAAATTTAGGATTAAAAAAAAAACATGTATACCAAATTATGTTCGCGAAAGGTTCCCTTTCCATTAAATTTAAAAAAAAAAAAAAAAGGGTTAAGTTGGTTTACCAAGACAATTTTTTTCTTTTGATTATTTATTATTCCTATGGATTACTTCTCCCTCTGTTACTTTTTGTAGCAACACCACTCTTACAAATATACAACTCACGAAATCATAACGTTAAAAAAAATACAAGAAGAAGAAGCACCATATGCAAAAAAAACATAAATTCTGCAAGATTTTCACCCCATAAGCCCTAACCATATGAGTTATATAACCATCTTCACATTGGATGATATTTGGGATGCGACTTTCTTGATCTTTGTGCATGATGCATAGAGCGTGCCATTCTCATTTGTAGTTCTGTTAAATCAAGAAAACAAATGTTTTAGATACGGAAGATAAAAATCCAAAAAAATATAAAAATACTTTTCTAGTTTAAGGAAGAATATAATTAACTAACTAGTAACTAGATCAAAGGAAAGTGACATACTACATATATATAGTACGTAATTATGGCTCTGATTCTTGGTAAACATTGCATGCAGAAACTCCTATACTTTTCGAATTCACATCATATGATGACAGAACCTTTCTCTGCACCCACCAACATCATCATCATCATCATCTTAACACAATATTCATGTTACATGCTACCTACACTACACTAAACCCACCCCAAGGGCACAGTGGTAAATTCACCGTTTTGAATCGAACAACAATTCAAACCAATAGAAATAAATTTGCAAACTACATAGTATATATATAGAGGCTCATGAAAAAGGGCATAATTGATAATTACCATTGGCTCAAAGTCTGGACTTGATAAGTTCACTGTCAGGTTTCTCATCAACAGTAACACCTCAACATTCAAACCAAAACAAATTAATAAAGGATCTTTGTTATGTTGATATAAAATCCAACATATCTATGTTACTAAAATAAATCTACCAATCTACTTTTGATTTTTCTTTCACCTTTTTGCCTATTGCTGATTTGGCATTAATTTGGATTGCCACATAAGCAAAAAGTTGAAAAAAAATTCAAATGGTAACCACGTACAGGTTCTCGAGGTTAAAAAAAAAAACTACTGTCTTGGTAGAAAATCATTAGTATGTTGCTATTAAGGGTAAAAAAATAAGTGTATAGCCATTATTATTTCCTGCAATTTTCCTTAAAATAAATGATAAATCTAATCATTAATTCATTATATCATGACTCACTGTTTCAAAGTTTATAGGATCCATCTCCTTTAGTTTCTGCACATGCCCTTTACTCTCTGGATCAAAAACACTTCCAATAAAGCTATAAACTTCAGAAAAATCCGGTGTACCTGAAAAAAAAAAAAAATAATAACAACACTAATTACAAAATTACCTACATATATATATAATATATATATATAATATATATATATATATATATATATATATATATATATATAGACACATGCATATATTAGGAGAAGAAGAAGGGTACCATAGAGGACAGAACCTTGTTCAGAACTTTGCATTTCTCTATTTGAGCTTCCTATACCACTACTCCTTCCTGTCCCCTTTGATCCAGTGTCAGCTGAAATGCAATATAACTAAGTCTCAATATCTTATAGAGTATAATTTTATAAACATGCCTGACATATATATATATATATATATATATATATATATATATATATATATATATATATAATACACTGAAGAGATGAGAGATTACAAACATGCATGAACGCCTTCATATCCATGGAGATCATATTCAATTTCATCTTGTGGTGGTAAGATTCGACCAGATGGGCTCATAAGCAGGGAGGTATCATGATCCCATGAAGAGTATCCAGATGCAAGCCCACTCAGGGAAGATGCATAGCCCAATGATGCTTGAAGTGGCAATAAAACTGCCACAAGTAAAGTCAAATTAAGAAAAGGTTTGAAATTTATATAAAATTAAGTGAGAGTATATTATTATTAACCATTTTTGGGAGCTTTTTGTGGATAGGGATGTGTGGCCTTGCGTTTGGGGCGAGGTGGTGGAACATGTGCTATTGATCCGTTCTTTTGGACCTTTAGAAAATACTTTTGGGCATGACTTCGTATCTGAAAATTTCATTAATTACTTTACTACCATGCATCAATTCAAACTTTGGGACATATATTGCATTTGTAATTAAGCTAAAATATGTACTTGTTTTCAGTTACTCATATAATTGCACCTGAATTACTGTCTTGGAACCAACAAAGTCTTCGATTTTCTTCCAGTCACGATCAAACCTGTCAAGTACATAAACAATGATATAAGGAGATTTATAACTACTAATCTTCATTTCAACAGATCTTGCTTGATTAGAAAGACTAGCCACATGAAATACACATTAATGGAGTTTCTGACTCCATTCTACTCTATATATCCGTTTACATTCCTTCTCAATCAGTCAATTGGAAATGAATTACAAATTAAGATATCTAATAGTATTTTTTAGTATCAACGTCATCATTAACTATTATCAGTTCTCATCTTTCAGTTCTTGCCATAATACACGAAATTAGTAATTATTGTACTCTAAAGGTACGCATGATGAAATCAAAATCAAAAAACATTGAAGGCTAGAAACCTCCCACGCTACAGATAAATCATCAATCAAATCAAAAAGAAATGATAAGGATACCTCCTTCATTACTTCCAATCATATGATCAAACTATGAATCGAATCGATAAGTTAAGCGCGAATTAAATTAATTTATATATAAAAAAAACAATCAAAATTACTAACAATTGAAGAGCTTCGAGGAACTTATCGTGTTCTTCTTCAGTCCAACTCTCTCTCGACTTGGTAATAGTATAGGGCTTCCGTACCTTCTTACCAGAACTGTCCGTGGGCGTCGAATTCGCCGCCATTGATGACGACGACGAATGCGTAGAAATTTTATTCGAATTGCTCATCACTATTCTTGTGAATGCATAGGAGAATTCCAGAGAGAGAAAGGGAGAGACAGAGAGACAGAGGGAGGATGGCTGTGCAGCGTTTTGCAGTCTCGTCAGTCTGTGTGTATGGATATGTTGTGTGGTTCAGGTGATCTGAAGCTGGCGTTCAATTAATCGCACCACTTGTTAGACGTTTGTTTTCCATTCTTTCTATCTAAGACCTTCTACTTTGAAAGATTTGATAAATTTAACCCTAGTTTAATCAATTCACTATTTGGTAACCCATTAGATTCATGTCTCAAGTAAGGAACGCACAACACATTATAAATCTCATATTTAATCATCTCCAGTGATTAGTGGTAGTATTGCTGTTAATACTTATTTAAAATATTCTTTTGCCCGATTCTACAAAGTAAGAAATGAAAAAGGTAAAATAAGAAAAATATAAATAATTTTGTTGTATAATATAATATATAATATACGTATACAGTTTATACCATAGAAAATAAAACAAACGGATGGAAGTCATAGTGATGGACAAGAACGAAGGGAGTTTAAAAAATTGGACTGGCTTGGCATTTTGGTTGTCTGATATATATGCTCGGGTTTGGCATATGGTTTGGACCTCAATTTTGACCTAACATTATATATATATATATATATATATATATATATATATATATATATAATATATATATATATATATAATTGTTGATTAAACATAAAAGTTAGTTAAGTTAAGTAATAATTTATATCACCGTGTCACTTTAGCTTTTTGATAGTTACTTCATCGTCACATCATTTTTAACATTCTATACGCTCCACACGTCATATAGATGGGTTGGGTTAACATGATTTTCTATTTTTCTTTCTTGCTTTAATTTTTACAGTTCAATATTTAAAAAAAAAAACAAAAAAACAAACAAACATGTTATTTACATACTTTGATAGTCGACAATATTTTCACGAGGTGTAATCAGTTACTCCTTATCGTTGTTGTTGTTATGTCCATTTTGTAGTTTGGATGTCGAGACAATTCATTATCTCTTTTTCACTTACGAGATGACAACTGGCATATGGAGTTTATGTTGTTAGTGTGGGTTGGATATGTCAATTTGCTCCTCTTTTTATGAATGAATTGATTAACTGTCATCCACTCGATTGACGCTTAGTGCTCAACAGTGTATTGATGTGGTTGGTGCAACCTTGATTAGGGATTTTATCGTTTCCTAATTTTTCTTATGGATTACGGCTAGTTAGGAAGGCTAAGTGGTGTATAAATTGGGTTGGGTGGTTGCAAAATCCTAGTTTAGTTATTTTCGTTATGTAATTTCCTGGCTTCTTGCTGAGTTTTTAATAAAATGTCATTGCTTTGGAAAAAACAATTACAACACTTGAGATATAATCTAGGCCATGACTTAAAACTTGACTTAAATAAAGGGCTTGAAAGAAGAAATTGATATTGTGAAGGTTATTAATGGTGTATGGTGTTAGCTCATACTCAACAATCTGACACAAACATTACTTATCTGGTTTGCCAAAGCATTGACAAAAAGATAAAATGGAATGGAATGATAGAAAGGACACTTGGATAGAAGTATAGAATATACGTTCCAGATAAGCGTTCTTTACTCACTTCAAACTCTCTCATGGAGACATCTTTGTCTCCACACAACTGGCTCCCTCTCGCTAGGAGGAGTCGGCCTTCTTTACATAACAATCTAACTTGATCGTTGGAGCTTGCTCTCGGGGCACAGTCCACTGGGCTAGTTTAACGGTCTCTTTCGTGATGTGGAATCCAACCAATATGCACATCCGACGGACATACGAGCTAGATGCAACAACAAAATAACCGATTACAGAACTGCGTTCGGGACCGTAGACCTGACACGGTATTTGCCACAGATTAGATGGCAAACCGCACTTGAAATTGCACTCACATTCTTGAGTCTTATGTCCATTAGTTTTGTATTATGATGGTTTAAAGGTTGAAATTCAAAATTCGTATCCCTAAATTTTAGTACAATATAATATCCAACCATCCATATTTGGTTTAAATAGATTTTATAATAAATAAAAGGAAGAATTTCATATACACCATTCTTAAAGATCAAAATATCATATTTGCCCCGTCTAATTTTAAAATATCGTATTTATCCTTTCTAAACTTTAAAAATATCATATTTGCCCAAAGTTATATTTTTTAATATGTTATAATTTTTTTATACTTTAAAATCATTATAGATAGAAAAAACAAATAAATGACCATATTGTCCTTCTCCTAAATTCTTGGAATCATCTTCGACCTTGATAATAACACAACGATGTTTGAGAAACACAAGTTGTCTCCTAAATTGCTAATCTTTCTTCTTCTTATTATTCTTATTCTAATCATTAATGAACTTTTGTTGCTTTTTGTATCTATCTTTCAGATTCTGAGTGTTTTTTTTTTCTTCTAGATTTGCATTTGAGTTAATCCTATTAGTTTCTAAGAAAAAATCAATAACAAACTGATCATATTTGTGTTTAAGATGCAATACCTTGCTACCAACATTTATTAATCCAATTTCTAAAATTATCCTTGTAATTAAACACAATTGGATCGGAAATATATAGGTGGGTTTCACTACTTCAATTCCATACCATAAAGTAAGATAAGATTAATGAGAAAATTATTGTCTACTAGTGCTGGTGTGATAAAATTATGGAAGCAATCAAGTAATCCATGTGATTCGTCGATGGTTATTGTTAATCCATTCTGCTACAGTACATTCAAGTTTATTTACTTTAATCCTAGTTAAAAGTGATTTGTATATAACACTTTTTAACCATACACAACAATCTATGTATTAAATGGTTGTATTATACAATTATATAAAGCATAAATTGTTATATATGGATAAAAAGTGTTGTGTACGGATCATCACAAAAAATATAAGTGTAGTTCAAGCATGAAGCATCTTTCCAATGTACTTCATATGTGTAAAACCTCACAAGAGAAAATAAACTCTTTCATTGTCCTAACCATCATAGTACTATTACCCTGTCAGTTTCTCTCTCCTTTCCGACTACTGCCATCTACCACCTAGTGACACTGTCAACTTCCGGTACGTTAGACAATTTCGATTCTTCTTTTCCATCAACACCGCCTAACCATCATAGTACTATTACCTTGTCAGTTTCTTTCTCCTCCCCGACCATCGCCATCTACCACCTAGTGACACTGTCAACTTCTGGTACATTAGACAATTTTGATTCTTCTTTTCCATTAAAACCGAGACAAATCGTTCAAATATTTAAAACAAAATCGAAAACGCTTGTGAATGGGATCTGTCTCATTGATGTGTGGAGTTTATGAGGTGAACATGTGATGAATGTGAATGTGAAGCTTCGTCCATGAAGAGGAGGTAGTCACAATCGCTACTAGCCCAACAATGTTAAAACATATAAGAACAATGAGGTTCCATTTTTTAAAACCAAATTGTGATATAAAGGATTATTCATTGCCTTATATGTTAGCATGTAGTTTCTCTTTTTACTGATGCGAGATTGGGTTTGCATACCAACAATCCTCCCATCAAACCCAAGTCCCGCTCATACCCTCCCCTTCAACGACTATTCATCAAATCCAATCCTTTTTTCTGCGCATGTGACCTGGGGCCATCAGGAAGACTTTCAATACAAGGCTTCATGATCAACTTCGTTGGACCAGGAATTGCTAGGGATTGCAACACCTGTTCCGACCACATCATCCAGAATACGACTGTATCTCTGATACCATTTGTAACGATCGCTACTACCCCAACCATGCCCAATATGAAAGAACAATGAGGTTCCATTTTCTAAAACCATCTGGTGATAGAATGGATTACTTATTGCCTTATATGTTAGCATGTGGTTTCTCTTTTTACCGATGTGGGATTAGCTTTGCATCCCAATGGATGATAGGGGTTAGTGGTAGATAAGAAAGGCTCAAGGTGTTTTTAGTCACTGTTCCTTATGTACTATTTGTTTTCCACCTTTTGGATAAGACTAAAATTTAAACAATTAGTCTCATTCGACTTGGCCATTATCTATGTTTTTTCCATGCCAAATACCACTTGAGAGGAGCTTATTCCATATTGTCTCGTCCAGTCTCGAGTATCCAACACTACATAAAGTTTTTTTCTAAGGTCTCTAAAACCCAACTTTATGTCTCGTTTAAAAAGATATTATTTTTCGCTTTATTTTTCAGTGGAACCTTGATGACACATAGAACTCATGTCGGTGTCCTCCACTTTTACTAGCTGACCTTTATATGGTGTGTGACAGCATCATTAACACCTCTTTCCTTATGTATCATAGACCTCAAGTACTTGAAAGTCTCATTTGAGAAATTAAAATGGTATAAACAATTAACTAATCTCACAGTCACCATAAGTGTTTCCAATTGACTACATTTTAATGTTTAGATTGGAATCATGTAAGATAAAGTATAGGATCATGAATGATGTGTAACATCCGGTTTCAGGATGTTTATTATTTAGGGATTGTGGACCATAATTTGATCGAGTAAAGGTCTTGGGCTTTAAGGGAATAAAGTTTAGCCTTATTGATGTTGATAATGTTGGTTAAGTGATTTAATCCCGTGATTTTTTCTTTGGAGGCAAAAGGGTAAAACGGGAAAAATGATATTTTGTACTTTTGTATGTATTGATAAATTAATCTATATATGCTTTAAGCCAAAAGTAATTGGATAGAATTGTGGGGATTGTCAATACCTTCGGTTGCATATAAAGATCACTGAAAACCGAGTTAGAATGAAGAAGTTATGACCGTTTGAAGTTAAAGCTGAAAAACCACAAAAAAAATTAGGAATTTATCTGAGGAGCGCGGAGCGCCCTTTAAAATTGCGAGCGCCCCCGAACCAGTGGGTTTCACGTTGGGTTTTGGGGTATATAAAGACCATTAACATTGAGGACTTCGTGATTTCAAGCCTTCACCTCCTCTAGAAACACCTCAAATGAAACTCTAGCCTCCATTGAAGTGTTTGGAATTCATCATCTCTCCTAAATCCATTTTGGTACTCTCTTAATGTCCATTTGGTGATTTCTTTTGGTGGTATTGTGCTTTAGAAAGAAGAAGAACAAGAAAGATGGTCTTTGAAGCTATGTATTTGAAGTATTCTCCATTCACCTTTTGGACCTTTATAAGTCACAAAGTTCCAAGTTTTATTGTGTTTTATCTTTAGATCTACGAATACATGGAGTTTTGGTACGTTTTAATGAGTTTTGGCCCTTGGTGTCTTATTTCATAGAGTTTTGATAGTTTCGTTTTTATTACTTCTTTTAATAGTTTATTTTTAGTAAAACCATCTCATTTTAGTTAAGCTTCATGCATATTTTCTCTTTTTATTATTTTTTCCTTTACTTGGTGCTTTCTAGTCTTTTGAGCTTATTTGCAGGATTTATTAAAGACTATTTGTTAATGGATGTATGGAAGGAGTATGGGACACATGGAGGCTTGTGGATTGCTTGTGAACTTGAGGTGGTGCAATTGGGCTCGGTGTCAATATAAGCAAGAAGCGCGTTGGA